AGAAGGGTAGGGGTGCTTTTCAACCTCACCATTCACGTCTTGTCGTGGAATGGGGACGCAGTAGGAGGGAGAAAGAGCATCAACTGGGGTCATCCACAGAATGCCAGTGAGGTGAGCCTTCGGTTCCACAGAGTGTCGCATCAGATTGAGCAGCGGAGAAAGCGGTGATAAGGCCTGCAAACAGAATCATTGCATTTGCCTTTTAAATTACCCAACACAGACGCAAATGGAATATATTCCACACATTTCACACAATGCTCTACTTTGATCTATAATCGAATAGGTTTTACATTTGACATCATGCTGCATGCCAGCAGGCATTGTATGTTGATTTATTCATATTGTCAAATCTTCTGATTCGATTGCATTTTCACTGATACAACAACAAGACAAATTTAGGTCGCCTAGGTTGAGGCTCTGGATTCCATCTTATGTCAGTACATTTGAATTAGGTTTCGATGGTGTACAAGTGCAAATTCATGTGTAGACAATAAGATGAACTTCCACAAATGAATAATAAAACAACGCACAACTCCTACCATGGCATCGAGAAGAATCAGATTCTTCATTTCCCGGTTTCTTTTACAAAACATTTTGACATCGCAATACATACTTATTGCATTCGGTTGCCATTCGGGGACGCAAGGCACGCGCATTCTCAAGTCGACATTCTGCTGTGGAGCGAAACGAAAAGGCCATCGTGTCTGACGGAAAAACCAGTGCCACTGTGGCTCCATAAACAAATTCATTATGTACGCACAGTCAAAGTAGTCACTTGATATAAATCCATTGTCTCCAAACCAGTCCCACGCTTTATCTCTCGAGGGGTATGTTTTCAAAGACGTGGACGACTGCGTGTCTTCAGGAACATGGACATGATTACACACCATCACATCTTCAAGTTTGGCTCCAGCTATATTGTTTTCCACTTTTGTGGGAGTTGCCAAATGATCCAGCTGCTGCTGCTGCTCCACTTCCATCGCATTTGTTTCCTGCTGTTTCGCTATCTCCACCTCATTATACTCCTTTCTCCCTTCCTCTCCATCTTCCCTATCTTCCATTTCCTCTTTACTATATTTCCTGTCAGCGTCACGATCCACTTTCGGCAAACTACTGTTAAAATGTAATGACATGTTGTTGCCACTAACACCGTCATGTGTGGGGAGAGCATTCCATGTCACGTTTTGACCCAAGGGGTCTATAAACGGCACAGGACAAGGTACGTTGGTGTACGTGGGGTTTGTTATATTCGATTCAGGAAATAACAAGGACAGGTCGTAGTCGGATAATTGCCTCACGAGAGGGATATCGCACTCTTCTTCGATGAAACTATACCATGGGCACAAATCCGATATTTGTCTCCACTCAGGATGGCTTTGCATTGAGCGCAGCACATTGCCTGTGAACATCATGTCGTAAAGGTAGCGAAAATCCACCTGTAAATGTTCATCGCCGATAAGCTCACAGAAGTAGAACACAGAGGGCATATTGGCAGTGGGACTGTCAGCTGGTTGCCAAATAAGAATGCGCTGAGATGCAATGTATTCTGGCATGTTTTCCTTTTCGTACAGCACCGAAAATTGTGAATTGTTCCCTTCACTTTCAAGGTGTGGAATATTTCCAAATGCGGAACCATCGTCGTCGGATACAGCTGCGTCACCATTGGATTCCTCAGTTTCATCGTCCTGTGGTTAACAAAACACAGGTTGTTAGAGCATTGGCTAACACTTAATGGACCCTTATTCTCTGAAATGAAAGCCACAACACAATCTGCAGCTCTCATCACCACTGTTCTCTATGCCAACCTACGCACTTTTATCATCAACCTTATTCCTGGTTAATATTTGTACGCCACCTTTGTTTTCGTAGCATAGAGCACACCGTTTAACATCAAAATGCGAATATATAAGCATGAGGCTGCAACAAATGTGACGCATGATTTTCACATTCTTCGCTGTTATCTCCCTCTCGTTTACTCTTATTACATGGTGTGAACGGTCCACCAAATTCTAGCATTGGGCAGGAATGGATAAAGACACTTCAAAAACCACACAGGCGAATGATGTGAACGATGTAGCGCGCAACGACAAAAATATTTGCCGACATTAACATCCACTAACCCAATGGCCGCTGAACGACCAATTGCAGAGTTATTGTCAATTACGACACATACAATGAAATGTGTTCCACTGCAGTTGTGCAACTCAGATGGACACGACTAAACAATTTCCTATTCGGATTCAAGCAAACCATGATTCGGCAACACAGCTCACCCACCTCAGACTCAGAGGCAATTACATCGGAGCCACCGGCGTGCTCATTACCCGACGTCTGCACACCATCCTCATTAACCGCCTGTGCCGCATTTACTTCCGCTTTTCCATTAGTGTCGCAATCCTCTTCGCCATCAGCTGGAAAGCACCCGTTAGCCTTTGCCCACTCGCACCACGCTTGGTTCGGTGCAACTCGGTTTCCATGCACAGGCAGACCTGCCAAAAAACGCCTTGTCCTTTCCGCCACAAGTTCTCTGTTCTTCCGGTAGCCAAACGTGTCGCTAACCGTGTCAAAATCCGGATGGACCACGACGTAGAGAAGTGTTTCTACCACATCCACCAGATTGTAAGCACTAAAAGTTCAACCAACTCTAGCATTCACCACTTGCCTCTCTATAGACTTGATGCATTAAAAAAACAACTAGTTTACAACCTATTCACCCTGGCGCATAACGCGTCAGAAGACATAACAAACACTCTTTGTTCTACAGGACAATCAAAATAACCTTCGTCTCAATGACATTATACATTACAACCATGGCTTTGCCAAGGATCTTCAAGTTAACGCAAAACACTAACCAAATGTGATTATGGATAAAGATGTGGACGTACCTAGTCCATTCACTTAGCATGCTTAGACAAATATGCCATGATTCAATGCAGACAAATGGATGGTAGATTGGTGTTGTGAAGAATATTTGTGGTGGTTCCAAGGGATAATCCGGCGGACATTGAATCTAGAATATGCACATTCACAAACACACATTTCTAGATAGACATGATTTATGAGATTCCATTCACTAATACCAAGACGGAATGCCATTTAGGCTGCCACTCTACACCGACCAATGCTAGCACGTCCAATTAGGGGTCTTTATGCCATCTTTATCAACCGGGACTCAACGGCAGTGCACAAGTAGTTCTCTTGTGCAATGTCTTACAGTTCCAAATGCCCGTTTCATTCGAAAGTACTTTATTCTTTTGCTCATAGTGAAATCCCATTCACCTAGTTACGTGAAATGTTTCGTTAGAACTCAAAACGCATGCAAACTTTACTGCGTTCAACAGAATATATAAATTAAGGGTTTTAAACGCACATCTGTTGTGGACTCAAGTACTATACATCCAAACGCCAAGTTAGGCACCATGCTCTGATGATGACAGATAGTACTTGCAAAATATCATTACTAATTGCTTGGGAAGCACTCACTCTCACAGTGAAAACAGCGTGAGCGTTGTCACCAGATTTTGGATTCAGCGAGATCATCACTGACAATTCGTTGACTCCGATTATGGTGGCCTGACCATCTGTCGATGTCTCAATTGTCCGGTAAAGTTGTTGAACATCCTTTAAAAATGAACGTCTGGTTGATGAACGTGACATCTAGGAACGGAAACGCGTTACCGTAAAAGCAAATTGCTAAGACAAAAACAAGGATACTGATTATCATAGGCTCATATTTTTGGTGCAATCCCCTTAGCAAAGACATTATAAATACATTGTTAAAGCAATTTTAAATGAAAATGAACCGAGTGGCACTGAATCACAGTCGCATTATATAAACCTGTAGAGATACAGGTCACAAAGTCACATTTCGCAAATAATGTGTTTGTGCTGCTAATATAAATTGGCGAAACCAATTTCTGGAGCAGTTTGAACGAGTATGAATCGAAGATAGTGCACTAGAATGTTATTGTCAACGGATGGGATTTGTTGTAATTTTTGTCAATGTACTATCATGGAATTCCACAACATTTTGTAGTGTCACGACAAGGAGTACTTGGGATTACAAAACAAATTGACATCGATCTATTTGGGACTGTAGTTTTGGTTGCCCAGCTGTGATTGAACATAGGTAAACTGATTACAAATGTCAAATTAAAGATGTAGGCACAAATACCCTGATTCTTTTAGTTCCGCAAAATGATTTATGCCTTAAATAGTATATAGTAGGTTTTTAGGCTTACATACAATGATTTTAATGAACTGCGACTCAAGTGTAAGTCATTCTTTATAATGGAACTCATATTAGAGGCAGATATTATTTTGAATGCAGTAATTGTTTTCCAAATCTGCATGCAAAATAGCAGAAGATGCAGTCCTGACCAAATACCCTAAATAACAGTTTAGACTTACGATCGCAACTGTGTAACAACTCCGAGATTAATTGAATACCGCGCCTATTTTTCAAGGTTAAAAACGTGTACGACCATGTATAGGGGTTAAATTTGAGAAAAGTTTCGAGTGGCAATTTGTGCTAAAATTAAAATTTGACATTTCGTTAGAATCGATTGCGTTAATACAAATTTTAATGCTAAAAAACGCGAATGATTATGGTTTCACAAGTGAATAAGCAACTGCATTATAGCAACCATTATGCTTGCCCGGACCACCATAATTTCGGCCTAAAGTTAGTGACTTTTTTACTAGTAGGAAAAACCATGAATGCCAAAAGTGAAAATTTTTCTTTTTGTAAAATGATATATGCCACAAATTACGAATGTTTTGACTTATGCAATCGTTAACAATTTTATGGTCAATCAAATCATTGTATTGTATAGTTTTTTGACCAAAGTAGTTGTTCTGAGATATTGTAAGGTATGGTGTCCATAAAATGTAGAAATCAAGTGTATTCCTAATTAGCATTAATTTACACTCCTTGCTGATTTGTGAGATTGCAAACCTGACTTTTTATTCGAGTTAGTAGCCACATCAAGTATTTTACGATACCACTCGATCACTGAATCAATATTTATTGTTGCAAAATTTTACCTAAACTGCATGCGTAACTATCTGTGGATCAATGACTTTTCATGTTTTGGGCTCTCATTGTGTACGCAACGCAGACACAACACAGTCAAGTAATCAACTGCAATGGCTATCTTGCCAACGAATTATTTTATAATAGAAGATACCTGCAGGATTTTGCTAAAAAGAACATTTTGAATAGCGGTCACTTATTACCATCTTATTGACATTTAGTGCCACTAGTACCACATATTGACATTAATTAGGCTGTACGAAGTTATTGAAACCCACATAAGCAATCACATACACACAGTAAGCTTTGTGGACCCGAAACCAATTCTAAGTTGGCACGATGAGGAAGTATTTCGGCAGCAAATAAACCTTTTGAAAACCAAGATTACTTTGCTTGTCCTGCGAACCCCAAAAAACACGTCCATATTTTCAGTTAAATAAGTCGATACATAACAATTGTGAAGTATTTGGAGGTTTAACCTAAATTTTGCAGATAAAAAGGCTTGGAATGCCACTATTTGGCAATTGTGTTACTTTTCGTAAGAAGGGCCACAGCGGATTTCAAGGTAAGGATCTGCCTGTCAACTTTTACGAAAATGATCTATATCAAGCTGAATGCATCCCTTTGAGCATAATTTCGGTTTTTCCTAATTATATTCACTGTGTATAATTACTAATTTGTGTACATGACCATTTCGAGCATATTTAAGGTTTAACCAAATTTGTTGAATGGTACTTAATGAATTTTTAGGACAATATGCAATAATACTTAGCATTTTAAAAATGAATGTTTTTATGGGACTGTTACGATGAAGGTTTACATATTTGACATTAAAAAAGTTTATAATTATTTAAAAGTTAAACATAGTGAAAGTGGCATTCATTCCATTGAGATTGCCCTATAGAACTCCGCTCCACTCTGTCACAATTAGAATGCACGCAAAATAAAAAAAAAACTTAAAAGCAGCATTTTACATCAAATTTTTAGGCTAAGTTATAGAAATGCTTGTCGGAAGATTAAAATAAAATCAAGAAAATTAAAGTAAACTAGGTTTATTAGGGTATTAATATTTCGGCCGGCCACAGCATGTTATTTTGAACCACGTCGTGGCAATTGATCGGCGATTACGTTATTTTGCTACTTGCAATGATGAAGAATACCAGAGAGGTTGCAGATACAACCCTTTCCATTTAAGCCCTATCAAGTTGGTGTCAAGTAATTGGTGGAGCTTTCGTGTGTGCAATTATAGACTAAATGTGTAAGACAGCATTATTCATATATGTGCTAATGGTATCACAGAAGTAACGATTTACCTGGATGCCTGTTTACGCCAATGAGGTGAGTTAAATTTCCCATCAGCTGAAAGAATATTGTGTAAATGAAAGCACCGTATCTAGGTATGGGACAACAGGATTAAGGATGTGATTAACTTGCCATGCCGCTAAATGTAGCAGTTAGAATTAACCACAGGTTAAACGTTTCTTTAATCTTTAAACACACTGTAGTGGAGTGACAGATTGAGGCCATATTGGCATTAATTTATTGGTTGAAGCTAATCAGCACGGCGAAGAGGCGACGACACGTGACCGGTGGTGCGACCTTCGGCCGCGTGGCAGTGAGCGGGCATCGAATGACGCGCCGGGGACTGAGAGGCAATCCGCAATCTCCATTGTAGCGACGCGAAACGGACCAACGGGAGAACAGGAAGAACAGGACAAGGATATATAAAGCCCCTGTTTTCCCCATACTGACTGACCAGATTATGAACAGAGTGCAGCATACTTCAGCCTTTATTAAAAGAATCCATTTTATCTTATCCACTTCTTGACCATGCCGTGGGGCCGAAGCGTATGACACCATAATACATCCATTGTTACATTGATCCATATATGTTCAAGGCCGCTGTTTTAGACAAATAAGCGCAGTGTAACGGCGCACCAACGGTTTTGTCTACTTCATATATTTGTGTTCGTTTACATGTCACATAACGCGATAAGTGGATTTAAGTAAGAGGGAAACTTCAATACAAAATATTGTATATCTTTGTTTGTTTTACTTTCTTATCCTTTCAATTACTCCTGTGTCAAGTCATTGACATGACACTCTTTTAAAATTATTAAGACTGGCTACATACCGAACAGTATTCTCTAAGGCATCTAAGTCACGTGGTGTTTTGATGGTGATAAGGGAGTTGTAAAACATTACAACGGTAAAAAATTTCGTTATACCTACACCACGCATTAGTGTTTTCATGTTTTGGCCTATTTTAAGCAAAACATCAGGCTGCATTGGAATAATTAGGTATACCAAAAAACCACTACGGGTTATGCAGTATGAAAAGGCTTGTATTCACACAATTGCTTTTTAAATGCTTTTTCTTAAGGGCAAGAGGAGCAATGCGAACTCTCTTGTACCATTTTTCGACATCCAGTGATATGGGGATTTAGTATAAGTTTTTTTAAATAAATTTGTAGGTTAAAAAATAAGTTTCAATTACATTTCTTTGAATGAATTCAAATGGTATGCATTTGACCTACATTTAGCAGACAGTTGTGTTTGCACTAACTAAATTTGTATTACTTGTGACCTTGACTGTTTCTAATTCTTGTTGCCTAAGAAAAAACACGATTAGAAGGAAGGCTAAGGGTAATTTGTCAGTACTTTACCTTGGAAGGTCACTATAATACTTCTATGTTGATTTTAACATCTCTAGTGTGAAAACGAAATTATCGCCTAAGTGATTACATATAGACGCATCCATATCAGAATAAAAAAAATGGATTCGCCGATTTGATTGCCACTGATGAACATTTTTTGTTCGCGGTTATTAAAATAATCAAACGAATTTCACAATGGTACTTAAAGACAATCACAATTATTCGTCAGGTTCTTGTACTGTAAAGGAAGATGTGCAAGGCTAAATGCGCATTTTGTCGTTAAATAGCGTGAAACTATCACCGAAATTTACAATTTCTTCATTGATACCGAGAAATACTTGAGAGGCAGGATTTTACAGTAGACAAATATTTTAAGATAGTTAAGTCAGCCACTTGTTCGAGGCCAACGTTTTTGAGATTATTGGCGCCAAGTAATTTATTATTCATCGTATCAAGTAAAAATGTCAGTGAGTCTCCTTTCCCACTAAGATTCTAAAACTCTCAGTGTTGCTATTTTGCTCACATGGATATTCCTAAATCGTTCTACCTTGCATTCACAATAATTAAATTACCGGTGCATGTAAGTGCAAAATATTATTATGATAATTAGTGTGAAACTGGAACACCCATACCCCTATCCACCCACATTGCATCCATGCTAATCCGAAATGCCGGTTCAGCGGCTTGTCCGGCTCCTGGAAATTTATTAGGACAGCTTGATTTCGTAAACACAGCTAACCTCCAACACGACAAAAATGGAAAAATTGCTGTGTGGAAGGGACTGAATAAGACCAGTGTTTCAATCATTTTAGACTCCGTCAGGTGTCGGACCGCCTTGCCAGCTTACTTTTTATGCCATCATAACACGTGTCAAAGCTTTTTTTAGAGATATCAGGGAATGTGTTGACAGTGGGAGCAGTTAATTTCTTCAATTCAATGTCAAGGATTCGGACCATGAGTTTGAG